AGCGCAACGGAAAACATAATCACCTGGCACAGGTGCCCCCACTCATCATCTAACACGGGGGTTCTCAACCTTTTCCACCTCAAGGCCACCAGTTTATCACTAGAAAGCCTGAAGGCCCACAAGTAAACAAAACTCACCGTTTTTGCTTAAAAATGTCATTTTTGGGAAATTTTCAACACAGTGATTTGAGGGGATTGACTCTTCCAATATGTAATGTATATCAGTGAAGATGAAATATCAGCAGAATATTGATGTAAGTGGACACCTGAAAGGTCAGGTGTTTCTAGAGGCAAAGGGCAAAAAAATGGCGAAGCTGCCTTTGTGCACTGTGACTGAGGGGCTTGTGTTAATGTTGTTAACTGTCAAACATTTTATTATTAATTCTAGTCAATTAGTTTTCACTGATTTTTATGACAAAGTGCAATCACAGGCCCACTACAGAACATTACCCCCCTCCAGTCTAGGTCCAAGGACCACCAAGGGGTGGTCCTCGGCCCAGTGGTTGAGAAACCCTGATCTTCCAGAAGGGTCAGAGGAGCTGCACGTCCAAATATGGAGAGGAAATTGTCATATTGAAAAGCAGTCACTACAGTGAAATGTGAAACGCAATGCACAAGTGACATTATTTTTCCATAGTGATTTTAAAATAAAGAACAAAACATCTATTCTATTGCTTTGACGCCACTGAAAAACAATCCATGAAGATTTGCATTTTAAAAATTCATGCTAGAATTAAATACAATCTGCCTTAAAACGGAATGAAGGCATGGCTATATTGCTTCCTTGCACTGCTTCAATGTTAAATCAGTGTAATTGAACTTTTACTTTTCAATTTGACACATTTTCTGCACGTTACTGTCTAAATGCAATCTCATTTGTGCGCTGCATTTCACTGTTTTGGTTGCATTTTTATAAGTTTGAAGTACAAAAAAGAGGTCAAGCGATGTGAAAAGTTTTGCCACTGCACTATTTTCACATATTCCATGGCTCATATTGGCACATATTCCATGTCACCGATGGAATAGTAATGTGATGTGCGCATTGGTTTCCACTGTTTTCACTGTTATAATTACATTTCACTGAGGCAAATCTGCAAATCTTCATGCATTGTTTTTCAGAGGTTGGGTGACGTGCTAACAGTGGCACACATTCTGCAGGTCACTGTGGAAAAGTAATGGCATGTGTGCATTTCACATTTTGTCCACTGTAGTGATTGCTTTTGAGTTTGGCACAAACTGACCTCCATACTCCACTGAGCCAAGAAGGGGTTACAGCCCATATCATTCTGCCTGCAGGGCAGTAAAGGTGTTTACATTAATGCAAGATCCAGGCATGTGAACAGATTCGTTCTTAAAGGGCCTATCAAGTTTCTGTTTTTTTTTTCTAGTCCAGCCAAGAACACTACATACACTGACTGGCCACTCAATTAGAATTGACACTCATTGTCCACTGACCATATAGGGGCACTTTGTAGTTCTACAGTTACAGACTGTAGTCCATCTGTTTCTCTGCATACTTTGTTAGCCCACTTTTACCCTGTTCTTCAATGGTCAGGACCACCACAGAGCAGGTACTATTTGGGTGGTAGATCATTCTCAGCCCTGCAGTGACACTGGCAGTCCACGAGACGTAAAGTTAGAGACTGTAGCTCATCTGCTGCTGCACAGTTTGTGCTGGTCATCCTCTAGTCCTTCATCAGTGGTCACAGGATGCTGCCCACAGGACGCTGTTGGCTGGATATTTTTGGTTTTTTGTTTTTTCTGGCTATTCTCAGTCCAGCAGTGACACTGCAGGGTTTAAAAACTTACTGAATTTCATCATGAATGCTCCAATCCCAGAAAATCTTTTTTCACACTAAAAGCGTCTGTTTTGTTTGTTTGTTTTTTCTTCTTTTCATTTGCTGCTGGTTGGGTTATTCTAATGTATGTTATGCGTGGGACCAACCCCACTCTCCTCTGCTGGGAAAACACTGAAGACTCGAACTGCCAATTTTGTTTTTTTCAAATACACTGTGTTATTAGCTAATTTTCTTATACATACATACATACAAGGCACTTAAGCTGAATAATGCAGCTGCTCCAAACATCACCCCAATGAAAAAGACTGTCACAACTTAACTGATCCCCACCTTCCCACAAACCAGATCCCACTGGTGGGTTAGAGAGAGAGATGGCATCATATCTAAAGAGATATACCCAGTCCTGTACAATATAGCAAATAATAACCTTCATTCAACAGCTGGAAAACACTGCCAGTGAAAAATGGACAAATAGGACAGCAGGGTTACCTGAGAAGCCAGTGCTGTTATCAAATGCACAGCCGTTCCTGCGCTGGACCTCTGGAAGTCCTGTAGCGTTAGATGAGTTCCTCAGCAGATGCACCTGAGCTTCTGAGAACATGTGACTGGAATCAAAGGTTCCATCTTCATGTTGTGGAACATTGAATCTTTGCTCTTGACTCAGATTCTCAAAAACACCATCAACTTCCAGAGCGCTGAAGCTACAGTGGTGAGACCACAATGAAGACGTTCAGAAGAAAGTGGCTCACTAAAGTGGCCCATGAAACTGATGAACAGGAGGGCTTCTGTAAGGTTGATCTCTGAGAGAAAATCTTCAACTTTCATCTTCTGTAAACTGCCTTGTCAAATCAATCACCTCACCTGGACTGTGAAGGCTTAGTGTCCTGCTGCTTTCTTTCTGACCTCATTTACAGCGTGTTCTTTCGTTCATTACATTTACATTTATGGCATTTGCCAGGCGCTCTTATCCAGGGTGACTTACAATTTTGATCAATTTTTTTTTTTTTTACACAGGTAGGTGAAGGAAGTGTTAGGAGTCTTGCCCAAGGACTCTTATTGGTATAGTGTAGGGTGCTTACCCAGGCAGGGGATCGAACCCCAGTCTACAGCGCCGACTACACTATACCAACCACCACATTACTCTACTAATCTCATTGGAAATGTTTCACAGGAACGTAATTAAATAAATATGTTCTTCTTAGGTGGAATATTAACTCTGTGGCTCAAACTTCACAGCAGATTCGTAATTCAGTGTCTATTCACAGGGATATATCAGACCTTACTTGGAAAACTAGCATAGCGCTGCTGTTGGAACAAAACCTCGTATCGTAATTTTTCAGTTTTTGACATAATTTGAAAACGCCTGTTGCCCTTTACATTGTGTGAAAATTTTATTATGATTGGACCAAAAGAAATGGCCCGAAATGACTTGAAAAAAAGTCTGGTTCCATTGACTTACATTAAAAGTAAAGTATGTTTTTTCCTTCTCCTGTAAAGTTGCCATTTAGGAGATACAAGGTTTTGTTCAGATAGTGACCCAGAACAAACCAAGAATTCATGCAAGTCTAAGCTGTTGTTTTCCAGCAGGGCACTGGAGCCACTATATTAGAAGTGAAGACAAAAGGTGTAGAGTTAGGACGGACAAGGGGGAGGTGTCCCTGTGTCCCTGTTAACGTTTTTTGGAGGATCAATGATGAATTGTCCCCACAGTAACTCACTCTCAACACACACAGCCTTTGCTTTTTATGTATATGTACATAAATATGGGTCATTTTCCTTTTGGAGGGGAAACCATGTCACAAAGTTTGCAGGGCTTAAAAAGATGCTTAAAATAATAGGCACAGCTCCAAAGGTTGGTATGTACATTTACACAGTGACCTAAGATTAAATAACACGTTTCCCTCATGATTTCTCTGATTTTTCTTTTTTTATTCTGTTTCAAAGTCACTCTGCCTCTGTAAAACAGCTCATCACATCCAATTTTCAACATTTGAGAAAACATTTTTAATGATGACCTGATAATGATAATGGTAATATAAAACAATAAAAGGTTTAACTTCAGAATTTGTATGACAGATTCATATTTATTCATTTTATTAACATTATACTACATTTAAAAAATAAGTTTTTGTCACGGAGATTTTGGTCAATTTTGTTTTCAGGACTCTTGTATTACATTTTAATACAGTATTTTCAGCTGTGACTCCAGCGACTTTCTGGTTAAAACTGAGGATTGTTTTTTGGGACGTGTTGTTGGCATCAAATTCAAAATGGGCATATATTTTTCCAGGAACAATAAAATTTCCCAGTTTCAACATTACATTTGTTGTCTTTGTACTATTTTCAATGAAATATAGGGTTCAAATGATTTACGCAGCATTGAATTTTTTTTTATTTATATTTTGCACAGCGTCCCAACATTTTTGGAAATGGTGTTGTATCTACCTCAGACTCACTAACTGCCCATATGGAAATGTGTACAACAATACATATCATAGGTTTATTTCATAACTTGTCAACTTGTTACTGTACAACTGTACATTGGAAGTGCAATGTTAGTGAGTATTGTGCATATGTGTATATATTTAGAGTCGGTGTATATATATATAAGAAAAAAAAGAAATATAGATACACAGACTCTAAATATATATATATATATATAGATATATATATATATATATATATATATGTATATATATTTAAGCTCCCTGGTGGACTGCACCCTGTGATTGATTAGATTTTGATTTGATTTGAATCCATCAAGCATGACAGGTCCAAATCACTGTGTAAAAGTCCCATATCGATGTTGATCTTATTCTCTTAAAATCCTTTGAAATGAACTTAAAGTCCCCACAAACATAAACCGATTTTATTTTGCGTAAATCATATAAACAGATGTTTTTGTATATTAAAAAAGTCATGCATTGTTTTTACTTCATTCAAATGTGTACAGCAATTCCACATGAATGACAGTATGCATACATCATTATATTACACAAAAAGCACAATTGTGCTTTATATAGTGCATCTATTGCTGCCAATACCAGGACCAACGAGAAGACCAAATGTACTGAAAAACACACTGAAATGCTTACAGTTCAATCACAACCCTTATTTACCAAAACCTTGTAAAATAGGTGCAAATAATGAATTTGTAAATGCTTGTTCAATATATAGACTAGTAAATACACACCAATGACAGTTTACTTGTGTCTGTATTTACTGTTCATAATGTGAAAAATCTGAATGTTATACATTGTGAAAAAAGATATTAATTGCATGATACATCAAAAAGTAACATCAAAATTTTGGTTAGCTCAAAATACAGGCTTTCCAAAACGCCTTCTATCCTCACTACTGATCCCCACTTCCTACATGTGATGCTTAACGAGTCCTTTAACACCACAAACACTAGTAGCTTCTTGTTTCTCTTATGAATAGGTTTTACATTTTACCTGAGAAGGATGTTAAACATCTTCCACTTTTTTAGAACCTTCTGTCTTAATAGGAATCTCATTTCTCATGATTCATCACTGATGATCCACTCAGGATCTGACCCCATTCCGAGTCCTATGAGAGGTCATGATAGTTACCTGGTCAGCCGTTCACTCTGAAATGATGTCACTGAGCTTTTTCTTCGTCCCCTCAATGTCCTCTATAGTCTCAGGCAGACACCTGTTTCGGGTCTCAGGCAGCTGACTGGCAACCAAACTAGCAAACAGCGCAACGGAACACAGAATCACTTGGGACAGGTGACCCCACACATCGTCCAGCAGGAGGATCAGAGGAGCCACAGACACGCCCAGTCGAGCCAAGAAGGAGTTGTAGCCCATCCCGTTCTGCCTGTAAGGCAAAGGCAATAAGGCAGGGGTGTCAGACTGGGTTCCTTCCAGGCCGCAGCTCAGCGGAGATTATTGTTTACTCTCATCTGGTGCTCTGAATTCAACTCATGAAACTTGCCAATTAGCTGATTGGTTGAATAAGTTGTGTAGACTCTTTCTGCTGCCCCCTAGTGGCCATTCTGCTTGGCTGACTTGAGTATTTTTAATTAGGATAATCAAATAAAATATTTTTCAGGTTAACTCAGACGGTGTGATCTCTATGATCACGTTCACACCTGGTCATTGACATGTGACCTATATCTGGATTGTAGCAATATCTGGATTATTTTAACTAACTCGGCCTCTGAAGGCCACTAAATTAAACTCTGAGGAGAAACTCACATCATGAGGGAAGAGGGAAGGACTCTGTTTAGTGGTGGCACGAAGTCCAGTGGGGGGAGTCTTTCCCATAGGCAGAACAACAGAGGGAGGAGTCACAGTATTGGGAGGGATTTTGGTAGTTGAATGTAGATTGGATAGACGAATGCATTTAGACTTGTATAACGTCTGGCTAATGCTAACCATACACTGGAAGACTTTTTAAAGACTAAAATCTCACATCTAGAGACAAAGTCACAGTTTTTAGTCACGGACTATGATTTTGCAAAGACTGGGGATCCTGCAGGGTCACTATTTGCAAGACTGCAACTAGATGTTTAAAATTTTTTCCCATCATGCACCTGGTGGATATTTAAAAGCAGAGAAACCCTTTTCCTTCTTCTCTATAGTGCTACACATGGGAAGATACGTTGGCTGGGCATGTAAAGATCTGGGGCTCAGCTCAGTTCACTGTAGACATGTATACACTGGCAGATCATCACTCGATATTTTTTAATTAACCTGAAAAATGTGCAAATGTACTTTTTTATTTAATATTAAGATTTACAGAACAAAACATGCTGCGATTCAGCATTGCTGATTGCTGAAACATTGATGCTTCTTCAATAATGCCATTCTTAAAGTCGTCTACACATTTCCTTACATCACTGTTACGCTCAGTGAACCTGAAATATTAAAACAGTCAGTTTACATTTTTTAAGTTAATATGATTATTGTTTTAAAGTGGAGCAGATTTGCCTTTTTTACTGCCTTTTTCGGGGGCAGTCCTCGTGACCGGAAGGTCGCTGGTTTGATCCCCTGAGCCAACAGTATGTGACTGAAGTGCCCTTGAGCGAGACACTTAACCTCCATATAGGGCTGAACTATGCCCCAAATGTGGCACCTCCAGTTTCTGATTATTTCTGTGGTCCAGCCAAAAACAGTGTTTGTAGTGATTAGCTGGCGTTTGTTACTGACTAACTGGCTTACCTGACTAACCGTGTCACATGTACGGATGTTGTTCCAGTTCAAAGGTTCAAGGGTTTATGTAATTGGAAGCAGGTAGACCTTTTAACCATGTCTCAGCAGTATTGGACTGATGTTTCCTGACGACATATGCACTACGTAAACAGGGTTGGGCAAAATACGTCGGAAAAATACTACATGTATTCAGTGACATATTCAGTTACAACACATAAAAAGTGATGTATTTAGAACATATTTGAGATACACTTACAGTGCATCTTGGTGAGGCATTTTGGAAAATCTTTTATTTATTATTTTTTTACTTCACATTGGTCCTCACTGGTACTGGTTGATAGTTTTCATCATGTATTTATTCTAATAATTAGCAGAGCTCAGTAACACTGAGATTAATAACTGATCACATTGATTTATCAGTCTACTCAGGTTTTAGCAGAGCTCAGTAACACTGAGATTAATAACTGATCATATTGATTTATCAGTCTACTCAGACTTTAGCAGAGCTCAGTAACACTGAGATTAATAACTGATCACATTGATTTATCAGTCTACTCAGACTTTAGCAGAACTCAGTAACACTGAGATTAATAACTGATCACATTGATTTATCAGTCTACTCAGACTTTAGCAGAACTCAGTAACACTGAGATTAATAACTGATCACATTGCTTTATCAGTCTACTCAGGCTTTAGCAGAGCTCAGTAACACTGAGATTAATAACTGATCACATTGATTTATCAGTCTACTCAGACTTTAGCAGGGACTTCAGTGTTTGTAAAGAAGCTGTTAACTGAAGCTGTGAGGTCCTCAGTTAAGTTTATCTAACAAGCATGTTTGCTACATACCATGTGCTGATTTTAAAATAGTGAATAAACAGGCATTGATGTTTCTTTTGAAGACATTTTGTGGACACCTCTTCTAATTAGTGGGTTTAACTATTTCGGCCACATGCATTGCTTGCAGCTGCACAGAATGCATTGGGTTTCTATGGCAGAGCTGCCACACACAAGCCTAAGATCACCATGCGCAATGCCAAGCGTCGGCTAGAGTGGTGTAAAACACACTGCCATTGGATTCTGGAGCAGTGGAAACACATTCTCTAGTGATGAATCACGCTTCACCATCTGGGTGTGGTGGATGCAAACAGAATGCTACCTGCCCGAATGCATAGTGCAAACAGTAAAGTTTGGTGGAGGAGGGATAATAGTCTGGGGCTGTTGATCATGATTTTGGCCCTTTAGTTCAGTGAATGTTTTGTATGCTACAGCCAAAATGTACCATTTTTTGCAACCAGTTTGGGGAAATCCCTTTCCTGTTACAGCATGACCATGCCCCTGGGCACAAAATAAGCTCTATAAAGAAATGCGTTGGTTTGGTATGGACGTTGACGTTGACGTTGACATCAACTTCATCCAACACCTCCGCCCAACCTCACTAATAGAGGTGAATCCCTGGCTATAGTAGCAGCAAAGGGGGGCCAATTCCATATTATTGCCTATGGTTTTGGAATGTTCACCGAGCATATATGGTCTCCCCACTATTGACCACATACTCTTTTACCCTGAAGCTGGTTTCTTACCTGAGAACAGTTGGGTAGAGTTCGGAGCTGTACAATATTGTTGTCATAAAGGAGGCACCTGAGCAGCCTCGACCCAAGACAGCTATAACCGTCCGAACCACTGTCTGATCTGTGAGAAATACAGAGAGCACTGGTACCTTCCGAAAGATCTAACAACGATTATGTAACCATTTATTTCTTTGAAGTTTTAAGAAGGGCCTTTATCAGGACAAATCCATTTAAGTGAATAATTCATAATAACGCTACTAAAACGTTTTGATCACAAGAATTTTAACAGCTATTTAATGACTATGTTTGTGCAAAAGGTTATGCTACTGTCCATGTTTTTAAAAAAAGAAACTATCAATTATCGAGTAAAAGCTGAGCACCTCACCTTTGGGAATGAATGTGTTAATCACGAGACTAAAACCAGCCAGTAGCAGAGCTCCAACCACTGTGGTCCGTCTGCCGATCCTGTCGAGCAGGTAGTACACACCGAGTTTAGAGGGAATCTCGATGACTCCGTACACAAACTGAGTGAGGTACAGGTTCAGACCAAGACTTCCAATACTGAATCCAATTCCATAGGCAACAGTAGCAACACAAAACCTAACAATGGAAAAAGAACATGCAACATGTAAATCTAAAGCGACTGAAGCAGTGAGAACCTGTTTGGATAAATATGGAAAGTGACTGAAAAGGTTCCTTTATAAAGATCCTAAACTGTAGGGACAGGTTGACCACACACCAGGTAAGGCCAGTCTTTAGGGCCAGTCGTCTCATCTTAGGAGTTCTCACCAGATCCAAATATGAGTACTTCTTGTTTTCTCCGTCTGTGCCCACAATACTGGAGAGCACCTACAGTGAAAGAGAGACAGATGACGTGTTCAGCTTTACTGTTTACTAAGTTCAAATAGGCTGAAATACGAGAAGGTAAATTAAACAGAAGGAATCCTGCTGGGCTGCAGTGACTCTTAATGAGTTTCCAGGTGATTAAAGTTTGTTCATGGCCCCTTTCTCCTACCTCAGGTTTGATGCTGGAGACGAATTCCTCTCTGCGGTTCATGACAGCGCATTTCCGAAGGTAATAATGAGCTTCTTCCACCTTCCCATTAGCTATTAGCCACCTTGCAGATTCTGGAATCCACCTACAAGCGATATTAAAGTATATTTATTTTTTATTAATGAATTCTTAATTATGCTCTCTTATATAAACATTGATTTATAGTTACAGATACAAATGCCAGTTTGGAGGAGAGAACCTTTTAGTCAAGGTAGAATTGCAATTAGAACAGAAAGACTTCGTTGTTTTTTGCAAGTTCAGACAACACCATTAACAGATGGTTGTAGTAGTAGAAGAAATTGTAGGACTGTGGGAGTGGAGAGAACTCTGACAACTCGATAAAAGAATTTTAGGCATGGTCTTCCCTCTAAACTAAAAGATATGGTTCCGGAATGAGGAGAGATTCGGGTACTGTAGGAAGGGTCTCTGAAAACTTCTGGCCTAGAACACCAGCAAGCCTGGAAACAAGCCAGGACACTCAACAGAAACCATGGCAGAGAGAGCCTTACATCTTCATGCTCTTGATCTGTCCGCTGCCCTTGACACTGTGAACCACCAGATGCTCATTTTCAAACATGGGCATCAGCAGCACTGCTCTGGATTGGCTCTGATCCCATCTTCATGATTGATTCTACCAGGTATCCTGGAGCCTCACAAATGGAGTCCCCTCAGGTGTCAGTTATTGGTACACTTTTGTTCTTCAGTACACAAAATAACTACTATGCTGATGACACCAAGTTTTACTTGTTGTTTCTACTACTTCCAACATCTCATAGGAAATATCAGACTCTCCTTCTGTTTTCTCTTTGTGAGTGGAGACCCACCACTTGATATTAGATCTGCACAGCTTGTCTGATCCAGAAGAGTAGCCAGAACTGAAGGTCCTTAAGGCAAACCTCTGGAGGAAGGGAACTGAGAGGTGAAGGGGTACCTCTATGCTCAAATGCAAATATGGTTGATGGGTGAACATGGTTGAGGAGGCCCAGGCATGCAAAACCTTTATAACAGAAAAGAGAAGGTATATAACACAATATTTAGGAGAGAAGTAGAGACTATAAATAAAAAAGATAGGTGGAGAAATAAGGAGTTGCAGTGAGTTGGTGCCAAGCAACACAGCCACCACTTGAAACTGAATCTTATGTACCTGCAAATCATGCCTCTATACTTGACCACTTTATCACTACTCCTTAACCATCCAAGTGATCCAAGTGGTCCAAGATAAGAAGCTTCTGCAGATTCCCACTTCACAGCATCACAAGAATATGCAACTTCCTGACTGCAGAGGCTGCCTAACGTCTTGCTCAAGGTCTAGTCATCTTCAGACTTGGCTATTCCCAGTCCCTCCTTTCAGACCTTCCCTCATTTCTCCTCTGCAGAACATTCCAACCTCCCATAGTTTTCCCAGGTGACTCCTCTGCTGCGACCACTTCACTGGCTTCCTGTGGAAGCAAGGTTTAGATACAAAGCTGTGGTTCTCACCTCTCAGGCTTTAAAGGACTCAACTCCTCACTGCCTCTATAGTTTGGTAAAGGACTACCCAGAGGTCTTCAACTTCTGGTGATCTTGACATGTCCTTCCTTCAAATCTAGACAAGACTGTAAGGTGTCCTTGTCCCTCTACACAATGAACATTTCCTTCCACTGTAGTTTGAAAACTCAATTCTTTAGGTAATACCTAGGTTAACACCATTCTGTGTTATTTTCCTTCACCAGCCCCCTGCACTTAAACTCTGTGTTTTATTGTTTACTTACTTAAAAAAAGAGCAACTGCTCATAGTTCATTCATGATTTAGATCAAACTATGATATTGATATGATATTGCTTGTTTTCTCAATAAAAGCATCTGCTAAATGAATAAATGTAGGTGTAGTTTTCGTAGTAGATAAAGATCCCTCTGTTTGTCCACTCAAGCCCCAAAGGAAGGTCATCAATGATAATGGGATACAGCTTGCATAGAATCGAGGAGCCGTCGGACCCCAGGGACAAGAAAGTGAATTCAGCAGGACAGGTGTGTCACATCAGTGGAACAGCATCAGTAGGGAGCTACAGGTTCTCAGAGGTGGAGACAGATTCTTCATAAGATAAGGTAGAACTTGTCAGGTTTCTCAGGAGGAGGAAAACTGAAGTTCCTTAAGACAGATCTCATCTGGAGGAATGGAGTCGTGAAGAGGCGCCTCTACACAAATGCAAATAGTGTGGTTGAGGAGGCCGAGGGGAAAGGCATGCAAAAACTTCATAAAAGGAAATTAAAGTGTATGGGTATATAAAAGAGAATATTTAAGAAAGAAATAGAAAATGTAAATAAAAAGTAAGAGGGAGGAGGAGTATTCCCTTGAGCCAACGAGGTGGTGCCAATTAGCAGTACAATGTTAGCAATACAATGAATGGAAGTTAGCAAAACAGTAAAGATTCAGTGTGCAGTGTTTGGCCACTCACCACCAGGAGATGATGGAAACGGTGATTGGTAAAGTCACAGCCACAGTCAGCCATCTCCACTCTCTAATGCAGTAGGCAATCAGACAGAAGCACATGATAGCAAAGGTCCATGACATGCTGTCAATCACACCCACCAGCTTCCTGTGCTCAATGTCCACCCACTCCACATCTGGCAGGAGACATTTTTACATTTGTATACATTCATAAATTAAATTTCAATTTATATTATTTGAAAAACCGCTTGGGGTATTTCAGATGAGGTCCGTACTGAGTATAGTGGAGATGATGACGATGCCAGTGATGCTCAACCCAGTGAAGAACCTCAACACTGCAAACATGGTGAAGGAGGAAGAGAAGACGCTGACCAACGCAAAGCCCATCGCTGAGACGTACGACACCAGGAGCATCTTCTTACGACCAAATCTGAAACACATACAGACGTGAGACCAGCCCAGTAGCATTCCGTTTACTATAGCGCTGTTCGGATGGGTTAGTTTTACATGTGGAGGTGGAGTAATGTAATTATAAAAAGTGTTTCTCAGTTTTAATCATGTCCAAATGCGCCATGTCAGACATTTTTTATGGATTGCATCCTCCAGCACCAGTAAAGATTTCGGTGGATTCTACCTACTGTAAAACGAACACCAGGTTATACAGGGAGATTCCCTCGAAAGAGGCCCCGAATATTCTGTAATAACTCTTGCTAGGATGAAGCAATCTGAACGAAACAACATGCAATGTGCTCCTCAGTATATGGAGCTTCAAACAAGCCTGGATGCCCCTGCATCAGAGCGATGAGGTAGGCGCCGTTGTTCAGGCAAGGAACGTTGTTCAGGCAAGGAACACTCAGGAACATGGAGCGCCGTGTCAAAATGTGTCTGGCAGAAAACGGAGATCATTTCCAGCATCACATGTTTAAAATCTCTCAAACCATCCCTATGAAATATAACTGTAAATGCATCCACTTTTCCAAAACACATTCCACAACCAAAACCCCTCCATTACTAAAGCAAGGCTACCCCCTGCTTTTCTGCATATAGGCAAGGCTCTGCCCACTGGACTACCACCACTAAACAGAGGCATTGCTGCTCCCTCGGTTCCTTTCGTGAGTTCCTCCAGTTTAATTCTAGCCTTCAACGGCGCCAAGCTTGTTAAAATAAAGTGCCAGTTCAGTTAAACTTGGCCTCATCATTATTCACTGTCTCACTACAACATTTTGTAGCCTCGCACTACTTGCTCGCGCTGCCGTAGAGGTTCTGGAGGCCATGCAGAGGGCCATGTAAAGAGGCTCATGGGAGGTGCTTGCCCCATTAAAAAGGGACTGTTCATTGTTGTTTATGTTGTCGTTGCCCTAATTAAGTTTCGTATATGTGTTGTTTGTGGTACTGTGTCAGGGTGTGGGGTCAGTTAGTGGGGTTCAATGGCTACCATAGAGAGGAAGCCTATGGCTAATGATGACCTCCCCCGTGAGTTCCACATTATGCATCAATAAAAGAGCAATACTTGCAGCAGAATCATGACCTTTCCTGTGTCCTTTCGCACCAATGTCACAACCTCAATGTTGTGGTCCATAAACACAATGACTAATACAGGAGGGTACTTATTCTAAACAAGCTGTTTTCTTGTAAACATTGGTATATAAAGCCAGTATGAGGAAAATTTGACGCTTATGGTTAAAATTTTATCAGGTTACCATCAGACACAAACCACATGAAATGACCAACAGGGTGTAAACAGGGTCCAAGTGTGCAACAAACGACAGAAAAAAGTTTTTTGCAGAGATGTTGGCTGTAGGCTGTGATAATAATGCTAATGACACAATGCATTCCTTGAAGACAGCTAGGTAGGAACTTTATCCCACTTCCCTAAAATTCATTCTGTAAAATTCATTCTGTCCAAATAGTACTTAAGACCTCAAATTTACACGGATATTGAGAGGTTTTAGAACGTACCGTCATTATGTTTCATCCTAGAGCTACACTATGTAAGATTTAGGGATTGAGAGACCTCTCTGGTGGAAATGTGCAATTGCATGCAATGTGCAGAAGGACACTTGGTTATGTCGTTTGTCTTTGGACTGCAACAAGAGGATATATCTGATGTTTGTGAGGGCGTTGAGAGAGCATTCGAAGAGAACTCAGTCAAAACTCGGTGACGGACGTTTCTTCGGAGGATGTGAGTAAATTATCTGCAATTGTCATCATATCTTCTTTAGTGTATATTGATTTGAGCTGTACTGCTGTGTCTGATCCACTCAGACCAGCGCAACACACACTAACACACCACCACCACATCAGTGTTACTGCAGTGCTGAGAATGATCCACCACCCAAATAGTACCTGCTCTGTGAGGGTCCATGGGGGTCCTGACCACTGAAGAACAGGGTAAAAGGGGGCTAACAAAGTATGCAGAGAAACAGATGGACTACAGTCTGTAACTGTAGAACTACAAAGTGCACCTATATAGTAAGTGGAGCTGATAAAATGGACAATGAGCGTAGAAACAAGGAGGTGGTCATAATGTTATGCCTGATCGGTGTATTTTATAGTACATACGTAGCGCTTAGGCTGCCAAATGCAGCTGCTCCAAGCGTCACCCCAAGGAAGAAGATGGTCACCACAGCTTTATTCATCCCAGCCTTCTCACATACCAGATCCCACTGAGAGAGAGTTAGAGAGAGTGTTTGAGACAGAGAGATAATCAAGCCAGTTCTGTACAATTTTCCAAATGTAAAGCTGAAAATAAGGACTTCACAGAATGGTAGGGTTACCTGAGTGGCCAGAGAGCTGGTGAACGTGCTGTTATCATATATCCATCCATTCTGGCACGGGACCACAGGAGGTTCTGTGGGACTGGACGAGTTCCTCAGCAGGTCAAACTGAGGTTCTGAGAACATGAGGCAGGAGTCAAAGGTTCCATCTTCACGTCGTGGAATACTGACAGTCAATCTCTGCTCGTAAGTCAGATTCCCAAAAACACCGTCAGCATCCAGAGCGTCGAAGTCACAGTGGTGAGACGGAATGACGTTAATAAAGATATTCAGGATGAAGTGGCAAACAAGGCCAAAGCGTCCTATGAAATTGTTTATCAGCAAAGTCTTCTGGAAGGTTCCAAAACCATTGATCTCTGAGAGAATATCCTCAAACTTCATCTTTGCTTGCTTCTGTAAAATGTCTTGCCAGACCACCTCACCTGAACTGTGACGAATAAGGATCCCGCTGCTTTCCTCTCGTTGCTTGTATCTAATCTATTGCATGTTCCTTCATTGATAACACCACAAATCTTGGGAATATTTAACAGGGAGATGGTCAAATGTTATGGTCCACCTTGGTCACAAATTAACTTTGTGGTTCAAACCTCCCAGCAGGTTTGTGCAGTATTAGTTGTTTGGTTCCATGTGATTCCATGTCAAGCCAGAATGATTTGTCACTACCCTTTTCACATGATGAAACCACAATATCAGAAGGTGCAAAATAAATATCAACATTGACAAGCACAGTTTGAAGGGTTTTTTTCATGAAAATATGGTTTTAAATGCAAACAAAATGTGCACTTCGTACATTTTGTTTCGAAAATTCTTGTAGCTTTCAGTGTCTGCTAATTTCATAACTATGGCCCCAATTTAAGACTGAGATTTTAGAAAATTCCTCCACACAACATACAAAAATTAAGGATCTACAGACCTTTCAGAATCTTTGATGCTTACTTGTGAAGTCTCTACAACTCAGTTCACTAAATTTTCAGTGGCAAGGAGATACAGATGGTCTCAAATCTTTTGGAATTTGGTGGAGACCATGTTGGTGTTATGACATGTGAAACTATCAAAACTGAATGAATACTTTATAGTTCTAGAGTCTAATAGTCTAGTCCGATTGAGGCCATTCGGAATACAATTTCTATCCGATTGAACGAGGTGGGTAATCCTGTAATAATCCGTTAAATAGAAGAATAATAGCCAGGTAAACGCCTGTATCTGATTACATTTCCAAATGTTTTCTTTAAAAGACGGCAGTGGGACGGACGTCCAGCTTATGTGTCTCAGAACACGAGGTCTTCCTCTCGGCCTTCTTTAATAAGGACATGTGAAGGATGTTTTCCTGAGTCTGACATCATTTTAAAGTCATTAAAAACTCCAGCGTGCCAACTCATCTCACTCGGAATGGGCCTTATGTGATGTTTGCTGTCATGGTAACGTTTACACTAAGTGGTTCTCCACCCATGCGTGATATTTTGGATCGGATTACTTGTAGTGAGCATGTAAACGAAGATTTTCCATCAGGTTGTTGAATAGAGTGAGCATATAAACACCTCAGTCTGAATCTGTAATCGGAATGTATTCATTCAGATTGGCAAAAAACTTTGCATGTATGCACGGCCACTGTCTCAGAGCTGGCATGTAATACCCCACATACCAAGATATTTTAGGCCTTTGGATCCCAGGGGTGAACTATCATTTTAATTAAAAAATTCAAAGAACTCAGATTATCACTTAAGAGATTTGGAGAACATGACGATGCAAACCTTGTTTTCCTGGACCACCATTGGCTGCATGGCATTGCAATTCATGCAAGTGTCTACAGTACAAGATATACCCTGAAATTATGTGCAGGGTGGCCAATTGATATATTAGTCCACTTGCCTGCAGTGTCTGGTGGATTCAGATTTTTTTAGCACCCATTTTATGTCTGCACAGGCATGTTTCAACAATAGGTATCAGTCAGAGACACATCAGTCAATCAGTCAGTCAGTTAGTGGCTCAGCAAGCAACGGTAACACTCAAAGACTGGCCTGCTGGTTGGTCCAACCAAATAATCATTATGAATTCTTATTTAAATGTATATATACTGTATTTTTCTATTAAGAGGTAAGCCAGAAAAATAATCACATCACTTTCAAAATCAATTTTCAGTACCAAATGTTGCTAATAAGTAGGGATAATGTCCAGTGTGAAGTGTTTCGTGCATGTCTAGGAGAGTGAGAACAGGAGTGTCACTGAGATGTTCCTTCAACTTCTTGAAGGCTCACTGGGAGTCTGCAAACCACTTAAAGTGCTGGTCACTCTCTGTCAATGCATGTCAAGGGTGAACAATATTGGCAAAGCCTTTAATGAAGTGCCAGTGTATATGTGGCGAATCCCAAGAAGCTCTGGACCTGGCGCATGGTACTCGGAGTGGGCCACTCCACTTGATCACCTGAGTCTTGGCTGAGTCTGTTGCTATTCCCTAGGGCCCTACCCTGTGTCCCAAGAAGGCCACCTCCTGCTGCATTACTTTTTACATATTTTTGGGGGGGTTAAGGGAGAGTTTGGCCTGTCCGATGTGCTCCCCCAAGCCATGCACAGCTGCCTTGAAGCACCCCCTGGAGCACCTTCTTCATTAGCCTTTTGAAGGCGGTCAGGGTGTTAGAAAGGCCAAGCGCTGTCTTCAGAACTGCTTCAGTGCCAAAGGCACCTGCCAGTAACTGCTATGCAGGTCATGCAATCTGAACCAGGAAGAGCGGGACAGCCAATCCAATGCATCATTGTTGTGGGGCATTGGGAAAAGAATCTTTCTTGGTGATTCCTTGGACATTCAGTCAGCAATAATCCATGGATTACCGTGTGCTCCTATCTCTTTTTCTTGCCAACACTACTGCTGAGGCCCAAGGTCTGTTGGATGGGCAAATTACCCTACATCTAGCATCTCCTGCACCTTATCCTCCACGTCCCACCAATGCAACAGGGAAAGTCAGCTTATGGGGGCAGCATACCAGATGATGTGTGCCTCTCTAAGCTCTGGGCTAACTTTTCCCCAGCCTGTCGGGTTGGCTTGCCTTATCTGCCCAAACTCACCAGCAGGCTGCATGTCTATGGGAGTCATGTTGGCCTCTGCAACCCCATCCACCAGCAGCCTGGGGTCCACCAACCTTATCTTTTACGCTTGTGGGCCAAGCATCCTCACCAAACCATGTCCTCAAATAAGTATTCAAAAATGGACGGGGAGATCAGGCAAGACCTGTAGGGCTGGGCCCTCTAGCGCTGAGGCTAACTGCGCTGCCTTAGCCTGGTCCCTCCATCCTGCTGCTGTGGCAACCAATTCAAACTGCCACAGGTAAACTGCCCAATTACCATTATCTTCATTACTTACCTGAGACAGCTGCGTTACCACTTGGTTTTTTACTGTGCACTGATAACAAGCCAGATGGTTCCTCTCCTCTTTAGCCTTGAGGACGCACTGTCCATGATTTCCAAAAAGAGTTTCAAATCTGATTCAGACCACAGAAGACTTTTCCACTTCGTCTCAGTCCAGCTTAAATGAGCTCAGGCCCAGAGAAGGTGGCGGCGTTTCTGGATCCTCTATATAAGGGTTCTTTAGTAAGGAAAATGGTTCTATATAGAACCTTTGCATCATGAAAGGGTTCTTCAGACAGATGGAAAGTGTGCATGAATGTGCTATAGATGGTTCTATATAGAACCATTTTGAAAGGGGTTCTATAGAGCACCCAAAATGGTTCTTCTATTGTGAAAGCTTGACACCATAACAATAGAATATCCTTTGTTCATGGTTCTATATAGAACTATTTTCTTTACTAGAGAACCTATGAAGCACCATGTTTTTTAAGAGTGTAGGATAATAATGTGATATTACATTTAAGTATATTTTGGGTGGAGTTTTCCTTTGCTTTTGGTATCAGTTGTTATAATGTTGTTATAATATGATACACATCTATATGATGTCGTAATGATGATGTCATGTCTTTGCTACAGCTGAAAAGGTGATGTTACTGGGTCAAAACTCATTAATGACCTCTAGTGGCCACGCTAAGGTACTACATAGATACCCTAAGCATAACGAACAGTAAATAAAACAGTATTTCTGAACAGTGTAGTGTACCACGAATACTGACACCGATTGTGGCTTTTATGGCCGAATACAATTTCTTCACAGCCAAGTAAGCTGTTTGTCATTTAGCATGCATGGAATGATAATCAATATTTCAACCAGTGATGCATCAAGCACATGACAGGCCCATATTACAGTATAAAATATCATATCAGGTGTCAAGACCTCATTTACACCTGGTTGTTGTCATTGTGACTTGTAATTGTGGATTGCAACCTTATAAGATTTTAGCTACATGTATTTACACCTGCTAGTCGAATGTGTCTCCGGTTGGTCAGATTGAAAACCGACTTGCACACAGTATGCAAATCAGATCATATACAACAGCCTGTGCTGATCCTGTTCTGTTCAAAGTCACAATTTTGCATGGTGTTATTCCTGCCCTTTACACCAATGTTTACAGGACGTTAACAGGAAGACAGCTGTTTACAGTAATTAACCTTGTGTAGTCGTCATGACAGTCACAGAGTATATGTGTTAAAACGTAATATACTGTAGCGTGACAGTAAAAAAAGATGAGGTGAAGTAAAAATTATCCAAACTGGCACTTTGTTTTAACAAGCTGGGCCTCTGAATGCCACTAAATTAAACTCAAAGAAGAAACTAGTGTCCAATGTAGCTTGGAAAGTTTAAACTTATATATCATCTAAATTACAAGGCACACTGTCTGCTAATCTGCACAGATCTACATAAAATCTTTGTTGTTGAAAACCTATCCAGCTAAGCAGGATGAACTATGCCCCAAATGCATCACCTCCAGTTTCTGATTATTTCGGTGATCCAGCCAAGAACTCTGTGTTTGTAGTGATTAGGTAGGATTTGTTACACACTAACTGACTTGACCCTGCCACCTGTGAGGATGTTTCAGTTCAAAGGTTCCAAGGTGATTGAAGGCAGACTTTTTAGCTATGTCTCAGTAATGTCCAAGGCCTCTTTTCCACTGTTGAGCCAAATGGTGCTTAGAGCCATGCTGGGCCGTTCTGCCCTGGTCCGGACTCATGAGACCGGTTTTTCCATCTCTTGTACCACTTAATCAGAACCAGGAACGAATATTTAGCTTGAAATTTTATCACTGGCTTTGTTTTATCTATCACTTTAGTGTTGTGGAAAACAAGACTAGGCAAGCCTTGTCTTGGTGGACCACCATTAGCTGAATGGCTTTTGTGTTATACAATTGCCTACAGTACACTGTATACCCTCACATTATGTGCAGGTTGGCCAATTAACCTTTTAGCTCACTTGCCTACAGAGTCTGGTGGCTGCCCACTCAGATTTTTTTACCAGCACCTCTTTGTCAATAAAAAGACACACATTTTCTATCATAGTACTCCTTTAGCTACTACTACTACTATTTGGTGGTGGACTGCTGTAAGAGCTGGCCTTCTGTTCAGGCTATAAATACCAAAACTCGGTCAAAAGCAAGGAGAAAAAAAAAAACACCTCTAAGATAATCTTCTACTAGCTTTCCTATGGGATTCTAGTAGTATGTTAGCATTAACGGTGATTCACAAGAAGGCCGTTCTACATTAAAACAGACATTCAAAGCTTGTAAAGACATTCCATGTTTTATTTGAAGCTTGTAACAGACATTAACATTATTTATTTTGTAGCAGTTTTATAGTGATTCAGTAAAGAGTCCTGCCATAGAGCTGTTGCCACTGTTTTCCATTTCTAACAGCTGACTGAAAGGCATGGCTACGTGTATTCACAGTCATAGTATCTAGGACTTTCAGAAGGCCTTTCTCACGGACCTAGTCCCACTGTTTGGAAGTCGAATGTGTTGATTCTATTATCAGTTCTTAATTATGTTAGCGGTTCGTCTGACACGTTAGACCTTTATGTCAGGTTCTGTAGTCCTAACCAATGGGAACACTTGCTCTAGTGAAGAAATCTGACTGGGTAATTTCCTCTTCTGTGTCATTTAATCGAACCCTTTAGCTTCTAGGACAAACTTAAAAATGAAATAAGAATAGTACTGCAGTACTTGCAGAGTTGGAATACAACAGGCCACATTATTATATCAAATTAAAATGAACTAAAAAAGTAGACCCAGCAGGTTCTCCAGTGCTGTGAGTTACAAGAGTGGATAAATCTGTGTTCCTTATGGATTTGATAATTCAATATTGACATGCTGTACATACTGCTGCCTCATGATTAAGTCCTTGAAAATTGATTTAGCAAGCTCTATAGCCAGGTCTCTACAAGTGTTATTAGCATGATTATAGACTTTAAAATGATTTAATCATATACAAACACACGAAAATATCTACAGTTAGATAAAAATCGGGTAAAGTCAAGCAAAATTGCCATTTTCCTTGCAAGTGTAAAAATGAGTGCAAAATCAGTCATTCTAATAACACTAGCATTATAGCTTACAAAATAGCTAATGTTACATTGGTGTAACTCTTTACAAAAGATAATTCATAAAAAAGTGACTGATCTATCAAAATCTTATTCTTTAGTGGTCCTGTAATGGTGCCTAATGATTTTATCCTTACCTGGAATTACCACTGGATTAGGGCATCCTTTATTAGGAAGTTGTTTTTTTTTAAGACACATGACATGATTAAATAAAAGTGTTTTCAGCTCAGTTGGCCCTTCATAAGTAGAGGATGAGCAATAGGGGTGATTATCTTACATTATTTAATTAGGTGCATAGCGACAACCATGAGTTTTCCAACTATAGGTGTCAGTCAGCCAGTCAGTGAGTCAGTGACCCAGTCAGGGACAGCAGGCTGGCCAACCAAAATATCATTGTGAATCCCTATTTGAAAGCATGTACACTTTATTTTTCTATTGAAAAAGCAAACATATAAAATAATCATAACATTTCCCAAACACTCTTTTTTTCATAAAATTTGCATCCCTTTTGAATATAATGAAATAAATTAATTCTCAAGAATGCTCCAGTGAATCTGCCTGCTTATTCAGTACTAATTGGTGCTAATAAACATAAATACAAAAAAGGGGACAAATGCAAATAGCTGATCATTTAGAAATGCGTGAAGTTTGCCAGATGTGATATTATTTCCGTCTTCTCATTTCTCATTTTCTTGTTCCTCTTTTCCCTTCTCCTGCATTAGGGTTTCAAATTGGCCCATCCTGCAATTCATGAAAAGCAATTATTCAGAAAGAATTAAAAAAATAACAATAATCCTAAATTAGAAATTTAAATTAAATTTCAAATGAGTTTTTATCACTGTCGCATCAAAATCCTGTAACTTTTAAATTGATCCTGTAAATTTTGAAAATGCCGCCAAATGGTCCAAAATTGTTTGAAATCAAATCTTGTTACACTAAGGAACATTAAGAAAATGAAATGCTTTATTCCATAGTTTCATTTGGAGTTACAAGGTTTTGTTATGACAATGATTTGTTAACGATGTTAATTATTGATTTGTCTCAAACAGCACTCATATGTGCACCGGCAGTAAGAGTTCACCTGCTCCCTTCCACGTCCTCTATAGTCTCAGGCAGACACCTCCCCCGTGTCTCAGGTAGCTGATAAGCGACCAGAGCAGTGATTAGTGCAATGGCACACAATATCACCTGGGACAGGTGACCCCATACTTCATCCAATAGGAGGATCATCGGGGCTATAGCCACACCCAGTCGACCCAAGAAGGAGTTATAGCCCATCCCGTTCTGCCTGTTGAGGCAAATGGTGCATATGTTAACATCGTGAGAAAGTGACAGTTTTAAAGGCATTTAAATGGCATTATGACTAATTGGTGTGTTACCTGATGACAGTTGGGTACAGCTCAGAGCTGTACAGTACAAGCGTTGAAAAGGCCATAGAAGCAAAGCCTTTACCCAGCACTCCTATCACTGTGCGGACTATCCATTGATCTAGGACACAGAGAAAGAAAGAGAACAGAACATGGACAAAGATTTATTTAGGTTTTTTCTTCACAATACCATATTTATACACATCAACAGCAGCTGCCTTTAGTAATGCTCTTCCTTGAAAACTTCCTCTACCTATTAACTCAACAGTGCATGGCATGGTCAGATATTTTTTTACTGTATACTAAAGATCTGTTTTAGATACTGTTGCACCAGAAAGTCCCTAACCACAAAGATGCCATGGAAAAATGAATAGACAACCAATTAAAAAGGGACTGCTGCAAAGCAGAACAGCAGTGGAGGAAAGGACAGAAATACTACTCAAAATTTATTAATGACAACGGACACAACCCAGGAGTTTAATTTTCAATAACTGATTGAAATCCTAAATTAACCAATGATTATCTCACAGAGGCTTCAACATCAAAATGTCATGATTCTGCATTATTTTTAATACAAAATCACTAACATTCGGTCACATTTTATAACTCCAAAACTACCAATAGTAGACTCAATAGCAAAACACTATGACTAGTTTAAAAAGATTACTGAGACAGAACTTCAGAAAGTTGTCATGCAGTTAAATTCCTCTACCTGTGTTTTAGATCCTATTCCAACAGCATTTTTTAAAGAAGTGTTCAACAGCCTTTGTCCAGGTGTGTTGGACACTGTAAATCGGTCTTTGGAAACCGATACTTTTCCAGACACACTCAAAATGGCAGATGTAAGACCACTTTTGAAGAAACATAACCTTGATTCCTCAGTAGCAATTACAGACCAATATCTAACCTTTCCTTTTTAAGTAAAATACTAGTCTTCTTAAAACTTAATGATTTCTTAAACAAACACAAGATTGATGAAATATTCCAGTCTGGCTTCAGACCAAATCACAGCACTGAAACTGCTTTAGTAAAGGTAGTGAATGATCTGAGAATAAATGCTGACGCGAATCATGTTCTGGTACTTATGCTTCTGGATTGAACTGCTGCATTTGATATTATAGACCATACAATACTTCTAAATCGGCTTGAGAACTTGGTCTTAATGGAACTGTGCTAAACTGGTTCTCTACATATTTAATTGGAAGACAGTATGTTGTAAACATAAGTGAACACATCTCAGATAAGCATGATATTCTCTGTGTACCACAAGGCTCTGTCCTAGGTCCACTTCTGTTTTCTTTGTACATGCTGCCACTGGGTCAGATTATTAGGAAGCATGGCATCAATTTTCATAGTTATGCGGCCACACTACTGTATATATCTGTGGCTCCAGTTGTCAGTTCAGTAGACAAGCTCGGTGTATGTCTGTCCAGCATAGTTAGCTGGATGAATCGTAATTTTCTAAAGCTTAATGAAGAAAAGACAAAAATAATTAGAATTGGTAGTGAAGCAAAGAGGAAATAAGTGTATGAAAGACTTGGAAATCTACAAATAAAAACTGAGGTTAGGAATCTTGGTGTAACTCTAGACTCTGGTTTAACTTTAAAAGCGCATATTAATAGTATTACCAAAACTGCTTTTTATCATTTGTGAAGCACTTGGAGCTGCATTTCAATGTATGAAAGGTGCTGTATGAATAAACATTATTCTGTACATGTAACCACACTGTCCTGTGAGTTCATAAGCCATGGACCATGGAGCTTGAACTAGGTCAGGATAAATGTTGGGAGGGTTCCTAAAAAATGTATTTGGGTCTATGAAGCAAAATGCTAAATAATGATTGACATGACTCTCAGCCAATCACAACTGTCATTAAGCGCTACGGCCTGTTGGGAGATAAGACTTATTGCACTTTAAGAAGCTGTCAATTGTCTGCCTAAACTATGCACAGCTATTTTATTTATTGATTTGCAAAAGCAGCACAGAGATCTTCACTATGTACGTTCGTAAGTAGTTCATTTTTGAGCTAAACAGTTTTCCTAGTCCGTAGCCCAGTTTGAGCTGCTTTTGGAAATACCAAACATGACAAACCAGACAAAAGTTTTCCATTCATTCCGAAATGCTTAGACAAGTCTTGGCTATTGCGATGCCACCCACAGTAAGGACTGTGGTGACTTATTTGTGTCCTGATTACATAATGCTGTTATATGTTTTCCCTTACTAGTCTAGTCTGGTCATGTGCTCACCTTTGGTTATAAATACATTTACAAGCAAACAGGACCCGACCAGCAGCAGCGCTCCAACCTCTGTTTTGTGGCGTCCAATCCGGTCAAGCAGGTAGTACACTAAGATCTTAGTAGGTAACTCCACAAATCCATACAGGAACTGGGTTAGGTAAAGGTCCAGCCCAAAGCCTTTGATGTTAAAGCTGATGCCATAGTATGTGGAGGCGACCCCATACCTGGAAATAGAAAATGTGTATGTGTGCAAGTTTGTTAGCTGGAGGAAAGAAAACAGACAGAAACTGAGAAAAAGTGGTTGTTTAGCATGACACAAAACTAGCATCACTAGCTTCAGCACTACTTACATCTTTTCTTGTGTTTCAAATAGCATGGCTACACTGTTAGCAACCACACACAGATGAAGAGGCTGTTGACCCCCCACCCCAAACCCCCACCCAAAACCTGAGCTGCACGTTAAATCAGCTCTTGGCCTCCATTCAGATTGAAGACTGTACTGAGCAGACTGTATTAGCTTTTTATGCCGAATTAAATGGTGTTAGCTTCCAGCTAATGACCATTTGCTAATGGCCTAAAATGTTCTTCAGATTGGATCAGAAAAGATTCAGTTGCACATATATATGCAGTCAGTATCTCTCTATTATCTAAATGACACATTCAACTAAATACAAAAGCATTTAAAAAGGCTTTTGATTAAACAAAATGGGAAAGTCTTAGCGTTATTCCACACCAGGTAAATCCAGTCAGAAAAGCCAGTCTCCTCATTTTAGGAGTCCTCATGAGATCCAAATATGAGTAGTTCCTGTTTCCTTTTTCTGAAACTATATGCGATAGAACCTACACCAAAAAACAGGATGGAACAAGAATTAACTTAATGAATGTCTGTTTCCTCATAAATACAGTCTGAAGGAAAAACTCTCACCTCTGGTTTCAAGCTGGAAGTGGTTGCTTTCCTCTTGTTCATGACGGCACATCTCTTCATGTAAAAATGAGCTTTCTCTGCCTTTCCGTTAGCTATTAGCCACCGAGCCGACTCTGGAAGCCATCTACCAGAAAAAGTCCAGTCATACTGGGTGAGGCTCAGGTCCATTTCCAGATAAATTAATGAGATACACCACTGCTGACTTGAGTGTAGCAGTGATAGCACAAATAATGCTACATATATGCTACATACAAGCTAATGGTCCTGTGCACTGAAATGCCATTGCATGAGAGTAAGTCTACTCTTAACTTTAACACTATTATGTGTATATCACTGTGTGTTACTGCCAAAGTCTCTAAACTACCACATTTAACAAAGGTTGATGGTTTTTGTGGGGTATTTTGGGAAGGTTGCCAGTCTTATGTCTTGTGGTTCATTGCACAACAGCGTTAGCTTGCATATAGCATCATATTTCAGCTTATTAAAAACTTTCTAATTCACAAAATTCAGTGACATTTGCAGGAACGACATCCATATGGCAAAACATACAGCAAAACAAACACTATTCATTTTTCTCATAAAGAAAACCAGCTCAGACCCAGAGTGTCTACTATGGGCATGACACCAACTACAATTTTAAAACATGACTTCAAAGGTCTTAAATTTTAAGTTTTAGCCAAGTTTAGCTGGTCTCCTGCACTTTTCAGCCAAGCTCACTTATGTTAGATCAGTTCCACTGATAGCAGTGGAACTGAGTGTTGGTCAATGGTGATGAGTGCACCATCGCCCATGTAGAGCCCTGCTTTCAAGTTCCCATCATAATAAATCAACATTCCCACCCACATTTAGCCAAAAAATTCTTATGACTGTCCCCAGATGTTGCCAAAGATGCAGCAGATGAAGATTAGGCTGAACAATACTGGCTTATTTCTTAAATGCGTTCCGTTTAAGCTATAGAATGATTTAAAAGAGCACACCTCCAGGAGATTATGGCAATAATGAGAGGTGAGGTGACAGTGATCGTCAGCCACTTCCAGTCTCTCACGCCGTACGCTAAGATAGGAAGCACCATGTAGCCAAAAGTCCAGCTCATGCTTTCAATCACCCCCACCATCTTTCTGCTCTCAATGTCCACCCACTCCACATCTGAGGAAAATCAGACCCAAACAAACATAGGCACATAATATTCGTGCATACAAATGTGCATAAAGTCACTGTCCAGCTTCCTAAAAACACCTACCATGTATTTCCACTTACTAACCACTTTATGAGGCACCTTACAGCTCCACTATTAAGATGTTTACAGTGTTTTTTTGAAGCATGTAGTAGCTACTATGTGAGATATTCTTGCACATGCTGATGAGCATACCAATTTCCCATGGGTCTGTTTTGTTGTAGCCTTGTGTTCAAACTATCCTGTTTAAATTTGTGATGCTAGTTGGGCGGACTGCATGTCAGTCAAACAGTCAAAGTAGGTGATTCTTGGCCACGCTAAAGGACAAAACACAGAGTATCTGACAAGATATGTGCAAAGATTTAGACCTGAGCCCCTGTCCTAATCCCCTCTTGGTTGTATAATAAATGTGTATATGCAGCCGTTCTTCATGGTTCATTTCAGTGAGGCGAGGCTCAACTCAGAGGTCTTGACCTGGGAGTAGAGCTTGTGCGTCAGCTCTCTTATGCTTCTGGTGCAATACGTCGTCTATAAGATTTCCCCTCAGTGAATTGGATATATCATGGATGCACGTATCACACCTGCACTGGAAATCCCACCAGTAATGTACAAACCCAGTTCTAAAAATTTGAGACAGTATGTGAAATGCTAGAAAAAACAGAAGGCAGTAATTAGTGAATTCTGTTTGACCTGTATTAAATTGAACATGGTACAAAAAACATATTTTATGTTTTACCTTAGGAACTTCATTGCATGATCAATGGCTGTGTTTACATGCAAAGCTTTTTGCCAATTCGATTGAATACATTCCGATTACCACTCATTAAGACTGAGGTGTTTATGCTCACTCTACTCAACAATCTGATGAAAATCTCACTTTACATGCTCACTACAAGTAATCCCATCCAAAATTACATGCACATGTAGAGAACCACTTAGTATAGACGTTACCATGACAACAAGCATCACGAGTCCATTCACAGTGAGATGAGCAGCAGTGAGCAGTGCTTGTTTTTTTAATTGCTTTAAAATGATGTCAGACTCAGGAAAACGTCCTTCACATGTCCTTAATAAAGACGTCGTGTTCTGAGACACATAAGCTGGACGTCCGTCCCACCGCCGTCTTTTAAAGATCAGAGCATAAACTTTGTCTCCTCTGCAGACCAGTTTCTGCTCCCGCCATATTGAACGCTATAAACTTTTGCTATGACACGACGCACATGTGCAGAATGTACTTTAACTTTCCGATTGGGAATGTAATCGGATACAGGCGTTTACATGGTTATTATTATTCTATTTAAAGGATTATTTACAGGATTACCCACCTCGATCAATTGGATAGAAATTGTATTCCAAATGGCCTCAAAGGGACTAGTATATTCTGATTGAGCTATTAGTTGGATTATTAACGGACTATTAGGCTGCATGTAAACATGGCTACTGTGTGGCAGGTATATTTCTAAATTTGATACCTCCAACACATTTCAAAAAGGTTGGGACAGGATCATGTTTACCTCTGTGTTACATCACCTTTCTTTTTAAAAACACTTAATAACATAACTGATCCAGTTTGAGCACCATTCTTCTGTTATTCACAGTAAGTCAAACTGTGTCCTAAACCACATTGTCACATTTGCGTGACAAGACCTGGATGTTGTTCGAATGGTTTTGGGGATGTATTTACAGAAAAGATTTCATTACTAACAAACACTAATACATATATTATATTGACTTCTAGTGTTTGTTAGCAACCTTGTAGCTCCAGCGCTAAACTAAAAAAGCTAAATTTGGTCAACATGCCTCAGCTGATCGACAACATGTGGAGTAATTAGAAAGTTGTACATAACAACCTTGTATGCTGACTTCAAAACTCTCCCTGGGCAATAAAGCTCATGTTTTTGGCTACCTTGAGGAAAACGAAACACTCCTTTTGGTTTCCTCCAAAACTTAGTTCCACTGTCTTTCTTAACCAGAGTGGTTTTGGTATGCTATAAATTATAACCTTGATTCATATTCAGGTTGCCATTTTTCCCCATGGGCCCATACTGCCCATAATGTCTGTGCATGGGCCTGTTTCTGACTTTGAGCTGGTCTGGGCAAAAGTTTGTAACTATACCAGCCATGTTGAACTAGAAGGCAGGGTTTCTAATAAAGTGGCCAGTAAGTGTACATAACTGCACATACATAGTCACATGATATACATTTTTAACTGAATAGGTTTGCTGGACTGCGAATCCATCAAATCTAGAAGCGATTCTCACTTAGCACACTGGTTATGATGACAATGCCATTGATGCCTAGGCCAGTGAAAAACCTCAGTACTGCAAACATGGTGAAGGAGGAGGGGAAAATACTGGCCACTGCAAAGGTCATCCCTACAATGTATGACACCAGGAGCATCACCCTACGACCATATCTGGGGAGCGAGATAACATACAACACATTATTGTATTGTTATTATGATTTATTATGTTAATGTAATGTATTATATTGTGAGTAACTCATTCAGCAGTAGCACGTGAGTCTACAAGTATGGAGACTAAATAATTGCATTGTAAATATATTGTAAATAACATCGAGTTCATCTGCCGTCACCATAATACGTCACCTATCACTTAGGCTTCCAAATATGGCTGCTCCAAACATGACTCCAATGAAGAAGATGGTTGCTACTGCTTTAGTCATCCCTTTCTTCTCACACACCAGATCCCACTGAGAGAAAGACAGAATATGTTTTATTTATCTACCTAATTATGTTTGTGTAGATTAAGGAGTAGTCTAATGTATCTTAGCTGCAGCAATTATAGGGGTCCAAGCACTGGGTAGGTTTTGGAAGCCCAACCATGTCTTATACAATAAACTGTATAAATTTTCATGCTCTGTTGGTTTAGAAATCTTTTCTTTGGAATTATATAATGTATACAGTGTTACCTGTGTGGAAACAGTACTACTGAAGGTGCTGTTGTCATATTCCCATCCGTTTGGACACTGAATCAGTGGAACGTTTGTGGAGTTTGATTCGGTATCCAGTAGCTGCAACTGAGGTTCAGCGAACATGTGACAGGAAGCAAACGTCCCATCTTCGTTTTTCGGAATACTGACAGTAAGTTTCTGCTCCTGAGTCAAATTCCCGAAAACACCTTCAGCGTCCAGAAAACTGACGTCGCAGTGGTGAGACGGAATGGCACCAATGTAGTTGATGAGCAAGAAGTGACACGGAAGGGTGAATCGGCTGATAAAGCTGAGAAAAACGATTAGCTTCTGGAAGCGTCCAAAGCCACCGATCTCTGCTAAGAGATCCTCAAACTTCATACTAAACTTTCCCGCAAAGCCCAAAGAAATACAGATTCTCGTCCAGCAGTGTCTCGTTCTGTCTGTCCTTGGTTCTCTCAAATGCCCAGCTGGTTGACCTTTCACTATAGATGCTCTGATGTGATCTAAACCCGTCCTCTGTGTCCCTCCCTCTTTTTCTCTCCTGCAAATGTCAGAAATTCTAATTTCTTATATTCCAAAGGTCGGAAGAAGCCGCCTGAAATGACTCGTCAGAAATGTTTAAGCTTGTTGTAAATCTTTGACTGTAAAATCCAGTGCAATTGAATATTTATTTTGTGCATACTGCACCAGTGATTTGGCAAGGACAGCAAGAATCTGACAAAGCTATTCAAATTGTTTATTTTGTAGAAATTACACAGAGAATGCTTCAGCACTTCTACATACAATTTCTTATGTGAAATCTTCATAAAACCACTATTATTTGTATAACTTGTCCTACAACATTATAATGAAGTATTATAAATGGAAAAACGTATCATATTTGCTTTCTTCTATTCTGCGACTCCTCCTTAAATCACTGTCATGTTTTTTGCGTTTGAATCTAATGAAGTTCCTTGCTGCAGTCCTCTCAGATCTTCAAGGCAGATGGATCTTTTTCTAAGAGAAAAAAAAAGTTTATGTTTCAGAACTGTTGGAGTCGACTTCAATTCCAATTCCAAATCACACGAATCAGTGAAGTCGATTCCAAGAGAAGATTCCACACAATAATTCCAAAACCATGACGTAAAGAAGAACATCTGGCAAAAAAGAGTACAGTATTAATTATATTTGATCTTAGCAAAGACGTTTGGAGAAATGAGTAGAGGTTTTCAAGCCGGCAGTGTTGCTTGATTGTAAGCCAGTTTTTCATTAAAATTTTTCTTGGCTTTTTCACTTCGTCTGTAGTAAAATGCAGCTGATGTGTGTGTTGTGGAAGGACATACGTTTCAGACAGGCTGTCTAGCAGCTGTGGCAGCAGAATCTCGTTTTATTATTTTTGAAAGTTCCATTCATTTTTCCCCATATAGAAAAAAATAGCCTAGACTTAGTGCTAATTTCACAACTCAGAATCACCACACATCCTCGGAGGCCTGTGTAACCAGCAGTGTGTCAGCAATTTGTGGTGTAACTAACAATAAGTGATTTTTTTTTTTTGTTTAAAGCTCACAAAATGTCTTTTTAAATTGATCAGTTACACAAGTTCACCTTGTATGCTCAACGTCCTCGATGGTTTCAGGCAGGCGTACATTGTGGGTCTCGGGGAGGAGCAGCGCGAGGAGGCCCGCTATGATGGCTACAGAACAGAACAGGACCTGTGGCAGGGGAGTCCACGTCTCTTCTAGGAGGCTGATCAGCGGTGCCACTGATACACCAACACGGGCCACACAGGAGCAAAAACCCATCCCGTTCTGCCTGTCATCATAATGCATACATAGAATGCACACTACACTCAAATAATGCATTGAATTTACTTGTTTGAAATATCATTGTTTCCCCTACCATAAACTTGCATGCTGCCTGGCTTGGATGTTTTCTTTATACCATAGTTTTTTATGGTATGCGCTCGTTTTTTGGCCAAAGTAAATTTTGTTTTCAAATGTAGAAAATTCAGCACTAAACCGAGATCTTTTCCACTGCAGATCCAACCATTACAGCTATGATTAGAGTGTATTCCACCCAAAACGCCATTATATCCTAGAGTAGAACACAGATTCCACAGACTCTGCTTTTTCACTGTGGAATACATTTTTTTTTCTGCTGCAGATCTTCGTGGATCAAGTTGAAAAATGCTCAACTTCAGCAGAAAATCTCCACTGAGCAAGTGTCACTTTTCATGAGGTAACCAATCAAAAAAAAGGACAGGAAACTGAACTGGAGAGTAAGGGCAAGGCTGAACAGTAGGACAGATAAATATGAATTCACTCTTGTATATTTTGCCTTCTCTTGTAAAGTTGCCATTTTGGAGATACTTATTTTTCTTTGGACAGCAATGATATTGAGGAAATTTAAGTACGTTGCTACCACAATATTTAACTGTGATGATGGTAAAAAGCAGTAAATCAGTTTTCTTTTAGTGACTATTTCTTAACCATATAACAGTATCTAGAGCACATGTTTCAAGCTCCAGTCCTGGCAGGCCAAAACACTGCAGACTTCAGCATGTTACCTCATTAAACGCACCTGATTCAGCTCATCAGCTAATTAGCAAGGCCTTCATGAACTGAATCTCTGGAGCACTTTGGCCCGGAATGGCCCCAATTTGACACACCTGATCTAGAGTTGGTTTAATAATCTGTTAAAGTAGGCTAAAAGGTCTCAACAAGCAGGACAATATGCCACAATCAAGTCTGGAAAGGGTTACGAAGCCAGTCTGGTGGAGGCAGTGTGATGGTGTGGGGATGCTTTAGGGCCTGGGCAACCATCAGTTCTGCTCTCTGCCAGAAAATCCTCCAGTAAAATATCCGATCATCAGTCTGTGATCTAAAGCTCATCCACAATTGGGTTATGCAGCAAGAAATTGAAGAACGAGTCCACCTCTGTCTGGCTCAAAAGAAACAAAATGAAGGTTTTCGAGTGGCCTGGTCAAAGTCCTGAGACGCTGTGGCAGGACCATAAATGGGCAGTCCATGCTTGAATGGCTGAATTACAGCAATTCTGGGCCAAAATTCCTCCACAGCAGTGTGAAAGGCTGACCTTCAGTTATGGGGAGCGTTTGGTTACAGTCATTGTTGCTAAAGGTGGCACAATCAGTCATTAAATTTAGGGGGAGAATCACTTTTTCACATTGGTGATATAAGTGTTGAAAAATGATTTTTTTTGCGTTTCCTGATGGTCTCCTTGGATTATATTCTGTTTTGTATGAGGATCTGAAACCATTTAATGTGACAAATATGCAAAAACAGAGGAAATCAGGAGGGGCAAATACTTTTTCACAGCACTGTTTACTGAAAGGCAATGATGTAATATTATATTCATGTGAAAATGATGTACGTATCTGTATCAAGTAGGTTTCGATTCAAACTTTTGTCAATGTATAACCTTCAGCAATCGGTGGGAATATTCAAAAAATGTATACAAAGTTGTTTTACAAATGTCTAACTTCATCCTGCGACTGATAAATATTCAATAACATACTGACCGTACTTTTTTTGGTCTGGCTCAAAACCTTAATGCAGCACGTGGCAGAACTGCTGACCATACATGACTTAGCAATGTATCTTATTTCACCACAGTCTACAAGCCAATAATTACTAGAGAACAGGTCTAGTACAAACAAAGCAACTAAAAGAGAGAGATTTTGATACTGTTTAGCCATGTGTTGACAATTATTACCTTACATGTATTACAAAGCAGAAATGAAGCCTGAGAAAGTGATTGGCAGCTCACCGTAAGACCGTAGGGTAGAGCTCAGTGGTGTACAGAAACACAGTTGTGAAGGAAGCCTCAGAAAAGCCTTTTCCCATCACTGCTACAACAGTGTGAGGAAGCCAGTTATCTGGACAAAACATAGAAACAAGTAAAAGTGGCATGACTGTCAAACTGGAGCGGTCATTAAATGAGCATTCTGACCTAAAACTAGCGTTTAAAATGTTATTTGTCATGTTAGCACAGCATTGTATCCTTTAGCATCATTGGTTTGAAAGAATTTCTGATTTTATATCCTTTTTTTTTTCATCTATCAGTGTCCTCTCACTACAGTACCCAGCATTCCTTACACAAATACATCATAAAACCACTGGGAACTCTTGACTGCTGGCCTAGCCCCTGATCTAGGTGCTAATACATACAGCTGCGGTTCTAGTTAGCGTCAGTGTAGCTCGGTTGTCAATAGGACAGTTTTTGTCATTACCAAAGAAACAATTTTATTAAAGAACGCCTGCAAAGTGCAGCATGTGGAAATGTGGAAAATACATATACATAAATGCCAGCTGTAAAGCATTTGACTAGCATACTGGCTAACATCCTTGCCCTTAGCTAACTTGCTAGCTTTAACTTTTAGCTTGTTGTTCTCCTCATCTTCCAGGTCATTTCTGTTGCTCAAGTAACCCATTCTCTTTATTATAGTGACTACTTGAATACAGTCATATGCACGTCATTATATATTCAGTTCCTTGGCAGTATTGTTAGCTATCTGGCTTCCTTCTGTATTGAACAGCTGAAGCTAAAGAAAAAAGAACATTTGAAAGAGCTTTAGTTTTTTCAAAAGTTCCCTCCACCTTCACGATATTTCATCAGAAGGGGGTCTTTCTAGTCTTAAAACCAGAAATTCTGACTCTGGTGCAGGGGTGTCAAACTCAGCCACTAAAAGGGCCATATTAAAAAATCTCAACAAATCTGTGGGCCAGAGAACGAATATGTTTTTCATGTTTAATTAAATGTTGCGCTGGAAACGGAACTGGCCACTGTTTATTCATTATATGCAAAAACTAAAATACAGGCACTTGTAGCTGACCTTGAAATATTACATGAGTACTTAAAATATTTAAAATTCAAATGTTCCCAGGAGCTCAGTCCTTTAAACCTTCCTATTTGTTTGAACCAGACACCTGGCATCCTTTCTTTGCTGCACGTCCATTACGTATAAATGAAGCCAGTGCGTTTGGTGATATGACCGGTGTGGAATTGCTGTAGAATTGAGGCGTAACTGCTGTCCCATAGATCGTTGTTGGGGTAGGAGAGTCAGAGCACACATTATGGTGCAGTGCATGCTGGGGACTGTAGTGCAGTGCATTGTGAAACAGGCTAATATTAATAGAAAATGAATATACTTTTTGTGGGCTGAATAGGATTGTGTCTTTTTTTTGTGGGCCTGATGTTTGACACATGCGCTCTAGTGTCTACTGTGGAGCATAGTGGGCATCTTTACAACAGATGTAGCAAGGGTTACATATTTTAATTTAGCCAGAACTTTTCAGGATAAGTGGAAAAATGTATAATTTAATGTCATATTAATATCATTTCAACACTCCATTCATCATGAAATGTTCACACAGTGTAAAAAGTGCAAAAAATAAGGTCATTAAGTTTTCAAGGAACAACAACACATCGTTAAACAGGCAGTAAATCTGCTCCTTACCTTTAGGGATGAGGATGGTGATGGCGATACACACCCCCGTCATGAGCAGTGTGCCCACCTGACTGTATCTGCGACCCACCTTATCCAGACTCAGGTAGATCAGCAGCTTTGCTGGTATCTCTATGGTACCGTATA